TGTAGACTTCTGTCAAGAGCTCCCAGGCCATACTACATGCCTCCTCCTGAGCAGGCAGGGAACACCGAGGAAGTACAGTAATCCAGGGCATGAAGGGAGACAAGAAGGTTCTTTAGAATGGGAGTCAAACACCAAAGAGGCTAATTTCAGTTGTTCTGTCCCTCTGCAGTCTTAAGACATATGTCAGTGAGTATGATGGGGGTCAGGCCAATTATAGACAGTTCTTCAAATAGCTGTGGGAAACTGTGGCCTTCCTAAATCCTTGGGAGACCTTCAGGATCACAGCATGGTCTACACTGACCTGCTTACCCGCACAGTCACATGGATTATTTTCTTTCCTAGGAAGAAATGCATATACTAGAAAAACAATTAGCATTCTTTATCCTTCTCCCTTTTCGAACTTTCCAGTAACAAGCACAAAATGAAACAGGAACCTTTTTTCACCCATATTACATGGTCAACACTGGCACTCACACAGGGCGCTTTGGTTTGTATATGCGGTTGGCAGCTTTGCAAAGGCTGGGCACTTTCAGAGAAATGAGTTCTCTGCCGGGCACATTTAGTGATTCAGCACGCTGACTACCTCTGCTGCAAGCCACAGAGCTTCCAGCAAGGAATTCAGAGCTCGCCAAAGCCTCGTGCAAATACCTTTATGGTGCTACAAGACAGATCTGATGCTATAAAAGAAAAGCTGTATCTCCCCCTGGAGAGGGCTGACTCTCATTGCCTCACCTTAAAGTAATCTCCAAAGGACCAGTTCCCCAGCATCTCAAAGAAGGTGTGATGGTAAGTATCTCGGCCCACATCCTCCAAGTCATTGTGCTTCCCTCCAGCGCGCACGCACTTCTGGCTGTTCACCACCCGCTTGTACTGTGCTAGCTCGCTCCGGGGATGCACCGTGCCCAGGAAAATGGGCTTAAACTAGAAATCAAGGCAGAGAGACATCTCCTGTTGCTAGACACCGTCCAGCATAGCAGGCTTATGACTGTAGCTCCAGAAATACAGATAGGGAGCTACAAGCAGAAGATATGCACATGGAGATGGGAGAGTCGTGAGGTGACAAGGAGGTACAGGAGCCGATCAGGCCACAGGCTTTCCTGTGAAAAAGGCTTTCCTGCTACAGATAAACCGCCTTCCTCTGAGGAAGAGGAGTTCCCGGGAAGCCCGCCCACGGCGGCCTGCAGGCAGGGGCCCCAGGCAGAGCACAGCCGAAGCCCTCGGCTCCCGGTC